TGTACCCAAGACCAGAACCACGGGGACCAACCATATAGTCAATCCGAGTCCTTTTGTGGAAGACAGCGCGACAGCTATATACCAATAATATCACACTCCTCCTTCATCAGAGCAATACGCTCGTAGTTGCCTAGAGTATCTGGCCGCGCATAGCCCTGTTTCTTTCCATTTTGTTCTTGTATCATACATTTATCGCTTTGGAAACTACGACTTTTCAATTCAAGAAGATAGGTATGCTTCGAATCTGAATACGGAGGATGACTAGTTTCCCCGGTTCTTCACATTTACAGACGCCCTGGCCCGGCTAGTTGCGGGGGAGCACTGGGGATAGTGGGGTTTGGTGTGGGGTACAACCAGGGAGCTCAACCGAGGGAGTTGGGGTTCGGGGCTGTGGAAGGCGTTGTTTCGGTATTGTAAAAGAGGCCAATTCGCTTCTCTTCAATTCAGCTGTCATTCTGCATTATTCACCTGCATTGTTGCTTCAAATCACCGGACTTCAGATCGCGGTACGACCACCGAACATAGATGAGAATAGTTGAGCTTGGCTCTTAACAGCGACTGCTATAATCCCCCCTTCGAGAAACACGGGAGGCTGCTCCCGCTGTTCTGCATCTCCCGGTGGCAGTCCGTCCGTCTGAATCCAACCGTCTTGTGCTACATTGATACTCACGTCTACCGGGTCTGCGTTTTGTCTCGTCCAGAATGTCGGGACCACCATCGCGTCTGAGGAACATCCTTGGGCATCTCTGGTCCTCGTCTCAGAACGAGCCTGCCGATTACGTTCACAGCCATCATATCCACCAGCTGTCGCCGACATTCTTCTTGGAGCGCGCGGCGGCTATCGAGCCGAATGCGGAGGCCATCTATCATGTCACTGCCAATGGCGCAATCCTGAGACGTTCATACACCGAGTTCGCAGACCGCGCTCGGGGACTGGCGTATTATCTGAAGAACCATGGGTTCAAGAGAGTCGGCATACTAGCCCCGAACACACCAGCTTTCCGTAAGTCCCGCCTCAAAAGTCCGGTGCGCGGCGCGCAACCTATATTCGATAAGAGAAATGCAACTCCTTGGTGAAAATGATATTATAAACTGACTTGAGATTGGTCTAGTTGAGTCCATTTACGGCATCGTGGCCGCAGGCGCTGTCATAGTGCCGGTCAACTACCGGCTGAAGACGGATGATATATTTTACATATTTGACTTTGCAGAAGTTGATCTCATTATTGTCGATGCCGAATTTGAGCATTTATTGGACGCCTTCAAGAAAGTGCATCCCAGTGTACCTCTGATCATTGACACTGTAAGTTGCCTTGTATCGATAGCAATGGGCCAGGAATGTTTTTGACAACTCTTTAACTAGGATACCGATGCGACTGAGGGCGAACTTAGCGGGCCGTTCGACGATGTGGTTTTAGAGGGACTCACATATGATCGTTTGAATGGGAATAAGGGCTGGGCTGGGCTGCATTCTCAGAGCAGCAATGAGGATGATATGTTAGCTATTCCGTTCACGTCCGGCACAACTTCACGACCGAAGGGTGTAGTATATACACACAGAGGTGCCTATCTTGCCGCGCTTGCAAATGTGGTAGAGTCAGGACTCAATGTCTATGATGGACGTTGCAAATATTTGTGGACTCTTCCTATGTAAGCAATCCTTTGCATGTGGGAATGAGGTTAAGGTGCTGACATCTATAAGGTTCCATGCCATGGGATGGACGTTCCCGTGGTCCGTCGTAGCAGTTCGAGGCACCAATGTCTGCTTACGGAAGATTGATTACCCCTTAATATGGCGATTACTGAAGGAAGAAGGCATCACACATTTCAACGCAGCTCCCACTGTCAACACATTGTTATGTGCAGCAGAAGAGGCCGAGAAACTGCCACAAATCGTTCGAGTGACTGTTGCGGCCAGTCCACCCACGGGTCACCTCTTCGAACAAATGATGAACCTGAACTTGCATCCCGTCCATGTCTATGGTATGACAGAGACTTATGGACCCATCACTAAGGGTTATATCCTTCCGGAATGGGATTCATTGCCAAAACACGATAAATACGCACTAATGGCCAGGCAAGGCCACGGCTTCGTAACAAGTCTGCCAATCCGCGTGGTGAAACAAGACCAGCCAGAAGGTGTATTCATTGACGTCGAGAAGAATGGTAAAGAGATCGGTGAAATTGTTTTCTTTGGCAATATCTGCGCAAAAGGTTACTATAAAGACCCTGAAGCGACGAGAAAACTCTTCTTGGGCGGAGGCTTGCACTCTGGTGACTTGGCAGTGATGCACCCGGACGGCAGCGCACAGATTCTCGATCGAGCTAAAGATATCATCATCTCTGGTAAGTGCCGGTTTTTAACAAATAACCCTTCCCGATTCTTAACTCTAATGAAACTTCACAGGTGGTGAGAACATCTCCTCAGTGGCACTTGAGAGCATGCTAGTTGAGCACCCTGACGTCTTGGAAGCTGGTGTTGTTTCCGTCCCAGACTCCCACTGGGGTGAACGCCCGAAAGCATATATCACTGTGAAGATAGGAAAGACCCTGCAAGGCAAGGATCTTATTGACTGGGCTAAGCACCAGAGTCAAATCAGCAAATTCATGGTTCCACGGGAGGTCGAGATTGTTACAGAGCTACCGAAAACGAGTACGGGCAAGATCAAGAAAAATGTATTAAGAGAATGGGCCAAGCATGGCCATAAGGAGTAAATAGGATCATAGGATACTCTTGTATAACTCAACTAGGCCAAAGTTTTGTTTCAGAAGGTGCTGTTATTCTCTTGGGCAGGAACTTCAACCCTTCTTAATCACTTAACTTATTAAGGTGAGACGGCAATACTCCAGTATCCAGCAATACACCGCAATATATGTCAGGTACGAGTACGTACTTTCTTGCTTATGACGATTGCTTGTCGGACTAAACTCAGGATCTGCACATTACAAGACGAGCCATACTCACTGGAACGCTTCCTTATTTGCTGCAATCCATTCCTCAAATGTCGTGGCTTTCTTTCCACCGTATCTCTGGATGTTGGCCACTCCGTCTTCATGCAGGGGACTTTCATAGAGCGCATCACTCTCTCCAGGGGCTACTCGAGATTCGAACCCATTGACCATAGCCGTCGCTATAAAATCCGGCACGTAGGCGTGTTCCATTTGAAATCTCAAGCACTGCTCATCGTTCTCAAGAGCTGTAACTGTAATGGTTTTCCCCAGTGTTTTTGCAATTTTACCAGCAACTTCTCTGTGTGAGAGAACATCCGGC